TTTTATATTATAAGAATTCAAAATCTCTTTTAAAAATTGTCAAGATTCTTTTTTGGAAAAATAATAATGTCATAATGCTGTGTTAAAGTATCATAAAATATCATATGTTATTTTATATTCATCAGAGATATTTGAGGCAGTTTTTAAATTACAAAAATCATACGAAAATTATATTTATATTTAATGTTCTACAGCAATATATGAATGTGTGTCGAAGAAACATATTTTGAAATTACATATTCTTGAGAAGTAAAGATGTTAAAGATAATTTTATTTTGGGAATTTTTTTTCTGGAAATGCCGTAACAATCGGATTTATAATTCAGTTGGCTCTTTAATTGTTCAAGCTGTGCAATTAAAAAAGTATTAAGTTTGACAAGTTAAATTATGAAATAAATGAGAAAACTTTGCGACACAAAAACCGCCCCGATCGAGTTGAAGAGGGTTGAAGCAGCCCGCGTGCCAGGAGAGAAGCCCCGACTCTAACTTATCGATTACTCGGAGTCGCCTTTCGCGGCGGCAGCAGCGTGCCATTGGCCCCTTAAAGGTTCCTGAAAAGCGAAGAAAAGCATCCGGGCCGGGCCAATGGCCGTGGCGCGCGCACCCCTTTGCTCTCGTCGCCTTTTTCCCGTAGATTTTTCCGCGCTGTCGCGCCTCTAAGAAAGCCGCCGGTAGCGAATCGCGGCCGCGCAAAATCCACCGCGACCGACGTCATTGGCAGAGCCGCAGCGTCTTGACGCCGCCCATCGAGAAACCCGGTACCCGGGAAAACAGAGCTCGTGTTCGTTCCCTCTCTCTTCCCGGATTTTCCCGCCTCTCTCGAGCGCGCCTCTCGTTCTCATTTTCTCTCTCTCGGTGCAGCTGCCGCCGCGACGCCTCCACCGCCGCCCCGTCTTCTTCTCCTTCTTCGTTCTCCTCGCATCCTCGCTCCGACTCCACCTAGAACCCGGTCTCTTCTTATCTCGCTCCTACCTCGGCTTCCCTTCTCCGACGAGACGACGACGACGACGACGACGTCGTCGTTACCACCGTCGCGCGCGCTCTTGCTCCTCGTTCTCTTTCTCTACTTTCACCCTGCCCTCCCTGCTCTTTTGTTCCCCCGGCCTTCCTTCCTCTTCTTCGGTGTCGGTTTCACCGGAACACCCCGGCGTACTCCGACCACCCTCGAGCGCACCGTCCGAGACAATCTCCTCTTCTCCTCTCCTTCTTCCTCGCGTTCACCGTCTTGCCACTTGCTACCCTGACTGCCTGCGTTACGAGGCGCGGCATACGGCGACCTGGAAGGAACCTCGTAATTCGGGGAGAGGCTGCGAAGCCGGGGAAGAAGAGGAGGAAGAGAGGGACCGAACTGTGCGCGGCGGTGGCGCTTCCTCAGATATTAGATTTTACAAGGAGCGTGCTGGGATTTTAGAGGGGTCACAGGGATGGTCGGACGGCGATGAAGGTGGAGGAACCGGGCCGCTGGGTCCGCATCCCTCCGACGTCGGGGGTGGGATAAATATTAATTACGTTTCTAAGGGCTGCCTGCGGCTACGTGTACCGGTTATACTTCCTCGCGCTGTATCCCGGGTCTTACGTCTCCGGGAATTTGCGAGCACGTCTTTGCGAGACTTGCTTTCTTATTGATCGTCGGTACGGCTGTTTCTACTGGCTGTTCTTACTCGCTTCTCGATTCTACTCCAGTTCTTTAGTAAATCTGGATGTAGATCTTCCTCTGTAAGAATTTTACAACACGGTTTTTTTATTCTTATTATTATCTGCATTAAAAAAGATTTTCTTATTTTCACTTTCTAACAGAAAAATTGTAATCTTTTTATTATTTATTTCTGTACAAGCAAGAGAAGTGTTTAAATTGTCTCTCGATCATAAATTGTTGATTACAAATTTTTTTTTCCCCCTTTGTCTGTTTAATAAGCATTCTATTTGCTGGCCAATTGTGCGCCGTTGAATCAGGCACGGCAAAGTTTTATTAAATACCATAGACGCGTGAAGTGTCGACGTGGAAAAAACACTTCGTCGACGTGCATTCGCGGCGCTACTCCATCTCCCTGCGTTAAATTGATTCGCATTATTAAAAGCAGCCGTGAATTGGCCGTGAAAGTTTTTCAATTTCCCCGGCACTGTCTCCGCCGGTAAATTGCACTGATAAATTGCACAATACGACGCGGTTCGGAGAAAATCGCATTCAAAACTACGCGTGTCCTGGTGTGTCTAGACGCGACTGTGCGTCGCGGATTAGTTGTGTATTTCATTTAGAAAGACAATAAATGGCTTCCAGACGGCGTTAAAGTACGATATAACAGCGTTTTCTTACTTTTGTCACAATACAACTTGGACAACTTGTAATGAGTCAAAAATAATTATCAAATAATTACTTTTCAGTATAATTAATCAGCCTTTTAAAATTATTTCTGCAAGTCTATAATGTTTATAATTTTTAATTACTTATTTCTACTTTTTTGTATTTTAATTACGAATCCAATTTTGAACAAATAATTTTTAGAAATTAATTTATGTTGGTATCTTTGAAAATGCTTTTTCAAAAAGATTTTAAGGAAATATATTTGCTACTTTATTTGAACTTTGTTATTGGCACGATTCTGACTTTTAACGCGATTTTTTTTCACATAAGATATCTGATCTCGCTTATCGAAGTCATTAAACCGACTATATTTTGCCGGCGGCGTTTGAAGAAGGGTCAATATATCGAATTTGCGGGATAATTATACAGGGTTGTAAACGCCGATCGCGTGATCTCGTGGGTACGCGTGGCCGACGATTATGGTCGATTATCCATGGAGTTGTTGGTCGCTCTTCGGGTAACGAAGTGGATCACCCCGACTCGCTGGAAACAGCCTTCGGGGGACAAAGATCAGGGGTGGCTGGTTCGAAACCTGGCTGAAATAGGTAGTGCTGCCGCGCAGTGGTGGTGTCGATAACTGAGGCCGTCTAAACAACCCCCCCCGCAATTTAGTATCTCATCCAAATCTTCCTACCGTGTTTCAATCAATTATGTCCGAGATTCGTATGCATGTTTTATAACAACTTGCGAACATCTGACAAATTGTAACAAATTTCTTCTACTATCAATATCTTTGTTTTGTGAGTAATTGCAATCAATTTTTATATTGTATTTATTCCGTGCGTTGATATTTTTAAATCAACATTACAGTCGTTGATAAGATTGCCAAAATTTTTTAATATGTGAAGATATAATGTAAAAAGTAGAGAATAGGTGTCATCAACAGATGAATATTCAGTTTATTACAACACTAATATAACTATGGATACAATTTTATTTTATTCATAATAAAGAGTGTTCACAGTTACAAAAATTATGATCCAAAGAGAAAAAGTTGCATTTGCTCAATTGTATTGCGCTACCACCTTGCGGCGACGCCGAGTCTGGCATTCGTCAGCTCATGGGACAAGATCGATCGACTTCTCGGTTGATCGCGGAGCATCGATGCCTCCCGTGATAGGGCGTTAGATCGCCGTCCGAGGTCGGCCATTAGCCGCAAATGACGTACTTAGGTGGCCGGTGATCTCTCCCAGTGATTTGATCGGATGCGGGATTCCTTCGGACAATGATTCCGGTTCGAGATTCGCGGGATCACGCAAGAGCGAGCGAGCGAGCGGCAAGGGGGATTCACGGCCCCTTCTTCGTTCGCCCTATTGATTTTCCATTCGGAACAGCTTCGGTACTCTCGAGGCGCCAAACGTCGGCGCGAGCTGCCCGACCGATTGACCGACATTCGATTGCCAATCGACGCACGCGGGTCGATCCGCTGGTGACAATGATTGAGACACCTGTGACTCATTTGCAGGCAAATTTGAATAATCCGTCGCGAAGTCGCTGCTGATCATGATTATGTGTGTTTAATATCGAATTAGTCAATTAGGTAACAATATAAGCGCATAGTTTGTGAAAATCACGAGAGGTAAGATCTTATCATAAGCGTGCAATCTGTATGAACACGACAGGAATTCGACAGATTAAATATCGTTCTATTTATAGAATAACAACTGCAGAAATAACGTAGCTTTGAGAATTCTATATAATCTGTATTTTTAATAATATTTTTAAATCAATCGATTAAAAATGTGCGAACTTTTCTAGGTTATTTCTTTTTTGCATTGCTTTTGCATGTGACATATACAAGAGTTTTTCTTTTTTTACATTTTTTTCAAATATTTTCTTGTACACTATTAAGAAAAAAAACTATATGCTAAAATACCGATGCTATAATTAGTGGAGTAATCCACGATCGAGGTAGCTCGCGGTGGATTCCGACGGTAATTAGTCGTACTGTTTGATTTGGACGACGGTGGAAGAGGCTCGCGCGGCTCTGATTGGATGAAACCGGCGTATGTTCGTCTTCACTTTCCAAAAGGAAAGAACAGCCCGGGGCCTCTGGCTCCGGGAAATGACGAGAAGACGAGATGAGACAAGACGGGACCCGCGAGTTAGGAACGACGAACTCGTTGAGTTCGGATGAGATGAGACGGGACGAGGGAGAAGAGACGACGAGATGAGATGAGAAACAGCAATGTCGCAATGAGATATTGCCAGTATGCGAAGGTGCACAAAGCTACCCTAGAATCTGTCTCCGCGCCTTGTAATAACACCGTGCATAGATCAGAGGACGACTCTTAGTATGATAATTAGCTTTGGAAAAAAATATTTTTGTTGTTACTGTGACTTGTCTATTAACGCAAGAACGCATGCGATGCGATATATATATATATATATATATATATATATACGTCAAGTTTCGTAGAAAAAGTATGTTTAAATTTTTTAACATATTTTAAATAAGTGTTGAGAGAGAAATTATTTACATATCTCTAAATACGATAAATACGCGAATCAGAATCTATGTAGACGTAGGGAAAATAGGATCTTCAAGTTGGATTTCTTTGTGAGGAAAATTTTTCAAAGTTTTTATTTATCCTACAAATGAACGAACATCTTTTGCTTTTACATTACACAGCTATGTATTTAAATATGAATTAGGAGCCACTAATATACATGTTCTTTTCTATCATGCTATATCAATGCGTATTATGAACACAAAGTTTATACACATCGTATAGTTTTTAATCCCCAAATATATCTGTACGCCTGGGGCGGATTTTCCGCGGGGTATGAAGATAGGGAAGAGGACGGAAAAGCAAAAGGAAAGGAAGGTACTCACGGTGCTTGGGGGGAAGCACGGGGTGCAAGATGTAAGACGAAGGAGGCGTGGCCTCGGCATTGATCCAGAACCCCCACTCTCGTGCTTAAAAGTACGGTCCTAGCTGCTCCGCTCTGTGCTCACCCCCGTCGACCTGTAAGAAACCGACAAGAAATGAATATTCATGAGCCATCAGCTTTGCCGCCTCTATCTTCTTGATTCGGTCACCGGCGTTAACGAAAAAAATACTCCGGCTCTAATAAGTTAGATTGGTATCGCAAATATCGCAATTGATTAAAAGTTCTCACAATTTCTAATTGCATTTTATTATGCACATTTCGAACCTGTTAAGATAAGTTGCTTACAATTTGGTTTGTTCAGCAATATTATTCGCAAGAAAAATAGTAGAAAAATGCATTTATCGAATCAACACACGTTTCGTTTATCAAGCATGTTTTACTCTTAAATGAGTATTATGATAAATGACGATTGAACTCTTGTTACAAATGTAAACTTACCAAATTATTATGGCCTCTTAGAAAATTCACTCGAAACGCTGATATCAATGTTTGTTTTCAATTAACAATTTCAATGATTTTGAAACTTGAAATCGCCAAGTAGATCTTCTAAATGCTCTCACCCATGCGTTTGAATTAATTGTGGTAACTCTATTTCTATTTACTGTTGCAGGATATTGCTTTATCGAATTAGTGCGATACGTGAACGAGGGGAAAGTGACGATAGTCGCAACGATGGATTGATTGCCGATCACGTGGTAAGCAAAATTCATTACACATGCCAATGTCAAAACTCAATTGACGATAAGTTTATTTTTTAATCTAATTTTTTTATATTACGCGAAACGTCAAATTCTAATTAAATTACAATTGATCACATGAGAGAGAAATATGTGCAGTAAGCAGTGTAAATTATTTTCTAAAAATCCTCTCTCTTTTTTATTTAATCGAAAAATATTGTAGCACACGGGGATGACGAGTATTTTCACGGCAGATTTCACGCTGTGATCTATATAAATCTCGCGTTGCACAAGTCGGATTTACACAAAGACAATAGAGCGAGATCATCGCATGAATATTTCATTGCTGGCCACTGACCCGATATAAATATTCCGAAAGTTGCAGAGCTCGATTTAAACTTTTCGCGTGACGTCGTCCGCTCTATTCAAGTCGAGTATGCAAAAACGACGGAACGACTCCTCGCGAATGTATCGCGAGCAAAAATGCACGAGCCGCTGCCCCCGCCGGGCGAATCTATATACATTGCGGTGGATATTATTTTATCTAATTTCACCGCGTTCAAGAATACGTCTGAGAAAGGGAGCATAACAGAGTTGGGCGCGACGTCGGCAGATTGGTTGCCGGCTACGACGTTCCCAGAGTACACTGGGAGTTTGTTCTAACTTGCAGTCGGTGGCAGTTCTCTTCAAACAGGCTAGATTATGCTCCACATCTCTCCGTTTTCTCCCGGTCGCGCGAGTCGCGACTCGCACTACGCGAATACATCGCGCGTTTGTTTGATCTAACTTCGCGCGCGCCTCAATCTCGTTGATGGTGAAAAGAAGCACGGTCGGCGAGAGTCTGCCTGCGAGATGACGATTACGGAGTTTCAGCTCTCGCCGGATGAGAGGAGCGGGAATCATCTTCGTCAGTTGCAAAAGGTTTCGCATTGTATACTCGGGAGCTTGTGTTGACGATCGAGATGGATCGATCGACTCTTGCCGCTGTGACTGTTGATAATGCATTCTGCGCCTGGCGGCTTCTTGCCGTAATTTACGTAGTTGTATTGCTTCGCTATGAGCACAACAGTCACGCATATTATTTCTTGCAAATGTAAAAACTATGATTAAAGATAATCATGAATAGTTTATTCTAAATCACAAGAAGTGCAATATATTTGAATTTAATAGTAAATTGACAAAGAAATCATAATGCAATATGTTTCTGAATATTTTACTGCGAAATTAAATTTTCGTGGCCAAGACGTAACCGCGGCAAGCCTTCGTCTTAAATTATCGGACGATACGCGCCACATTAAACCCGAAATGGTGCGGGCTCTGATTTACGAAGCTGTTAACGTATCCGATAAAATACAGCCTTCGGTTTTATTGCGCCCATTCGACGCCATTTTGGTGCGAGGATTTCTCTCCTCGAAACACTTCCCCCCGTTACTCTTACTTACCCACCCACTATGTCTTCCCGCGTCTCTCGCCGCAGTAATTTCAATTGGCTTGCTACGGCATTCCGCACGATTTATCCGTTCGGGTCGAATTTTTTGACCGACAGCGATTCTAAACAGAGTAACGCGAGCTAAGTCTCACCCTCCGCAATTTAATTTACTTTGATCGCACCGCCGAGTCGGTTGGATTCAGGGATGAGATTAATCCGCTTCGTAATGCATAATATATTAGGATAGTAATACACGGGAATCCTTTTGCCGCGTGGAGATAAACACGGGAACAAAGTTGCAGTTTTCAAGATGCTTTTCCACTATATTTTTCGACCGATTACTTTTATTACAGTATTTTTATCAGAACAGAGTATATTTATGCACGATTTAAAACTCTCCGCAAAAGCGGAGACTTTCGAAATATTCGCGGGTCATGATATTTTTGACCTCCGCGCGGATGGCCTTTCGAGTTTCACGCGTCTCTCCCCGAGGACGGTAACTCATAGACCAGAGTGTCACGATCCTTTAAAATATTTAGAGGAGGTAGTCCGGGGAAGGAGTGAAGCAACGCGGGCAGGGGGGCGGCGGAGGAGAGACTCATCCAAGTTGGCAACTTTCGGTCGTATTAGCTTTTGTATATATATTACCTCATTTGCGAGAGGAAAGCTTATACTTCTACCCCCTGTAGACGCTGTATAGATATACATGCACTCACCTACCGCCTCCCTCCACAATATACTTGTACACGTGCTTCGGCTATATTTCGCCGTCAGTGTGACACGTCAGTCGTCGCACTTCGCGCGGCGAATCGTCTATCCAAAAAGTTTTCGCAATCTCGGCGGGTTATGCGTTTCCGCGACACCGCGAAGATCCGAAGAAGCGAGAGACGTGATCTACTTGTTGAAATCAATTTTGTCCATTTGGAATGGCTTTAACGGACAACAATGCAGAGATAAAGAATATGCGTATATTTTTTATCGCCTCTTCTTCATTTGTACAGACTGACATTGCCTAACTTTGAAACTCTGAGAGACAAGCCTGGGAGGAAGCCCGCGATGCGAAAGAACAGATTCATCGGGGAATAGAGCGCGAGGCGACGATGCAGGTACGCCCTCGACGCGGGAAAACAGACATTTAACCTGAAATAACACACGGACAATGAATACAAAATATACGTCAACACGAGTCGTAACTTCCCCGCTTTCGTTGCGCTCCGGGTGTATCATTCCCGGCGCTGTTCCGATTTCAGGCTCGCGCTCTTGACGTCCGGATGAGCCGATGGGCGTAAAAATGGGGGAATAGGAAAGGCGGAAAGCGCGCGATGGAAAGAGGGCGACCGAGAGGAGGATGGGCTGCTGGCGGTGAAGAGCGACAAGAGTGCGAGGAGCATCGGCGGCGCATCGCCTTCGAGCAAGTATCGCCCGGCTGTCAGATGGTGGGTAGGGTTGGCGGAGAAGGAAGGTACCTACGCGCGCGGAGGGTTAGGTCGGAATATAGTTTAAGCTAGACGAATGGGCTGGTGGGTGGTTCTGGAGGCAGAAGAGTGAGCCGAGGCGGGTAGTTTTGCCTGGGTACCGCCGCACCCCTCTGCCCACCCGCCGAGGTCTCTCTCGCCGCTCTCTCCCCGGCCCCCGCCAGCCCTCTGGAGGCACCCCCGGTTACTACTCCACCACCTTCTCCACCTCCTCGACGACGCCATACCCTCGTTCATAATATCCTGCACGTCAGACTTTGAAAACTCCAACAATTTCCTCCTGCCGCCTGGTTGGAGAGCGAAGAGGGGAGGGGAACGGGGAGGAAGGGGATGGCCGGGGCTCAGGGGGTTGGTTCTACCCGCCGCGTGGAGATGGTTCCAGGTTGCTGATGCTGGTGCCGCTCTCTTCGTGTGGTAGTAGTAGTAGTAGTCGTAGCAATAGTAGTAGTAGTAGTAGTAGTAGTAGTAGCGGTGGTAGTGAAGGTGGCGGTGGTGGTGGCGAACCGACGGTGCGAGGGAGACGAGTTTCGAGTTTATATAAAGTTCGGGCCACATCAATAATTATAAGTAGAGAGCCGAGGCAAGATGGCGCACCCGACTGGCAAACCCCATCCCCTCGCATGCCAACCGAGTCATTATTCAAGGCATCCTTACTTCCACCCGCCTGCCCGTCCGATTGATCCTTGGTGTCGTCTTGGGGAACGATCGACGCTTTTCCGAAGAAGAGCGGAAGATCGCCTCGTTGATCCTTAATGCTTCTTGTCACGTTCTGACCACCGCGTAAATGTTTCACAATAACGTTGAATTCCGTTCTATATGCAACGATGAATAGCTCATGAGAGAAGTAAAGAAACAGTAAATCTTATATATGAATTTTTACAGAAATTACTATCTTCTATAAATTCTTTAACTTTAGAATTTATTTTTTTTTCTTACTAAAGAAATCGAGACATTATTAGTCAATCAAAAAGTACATTTTATAAATACAAAATATATGTGAATTGATCGTTGGTTAAAATATGATTTTTAGTAAAAAAATAATATTTTTGTGAAAATTCTACATCTTTCTTTCGAAATGTAATGAAGAGTAGGATTATTAAGGGAACTCGCGAAGCTCTGGTGAGGAGGAAAAACACGAGGGGCCGAGGCGATGGGAAGGGTCGGTTGGTTTCCGGCAAAGATGACGGTTGATTAATGTTGAGGGTAGTTTCTTACTCACACCTAGCCCGGCGGGATAGTCGGTTACAATGGCGAGCGGCGCCTTAGATAAAGCGTCGAAATAATATCGCGCGCGAAAGCACGGTATAGCTGCGGCTATCAATTTTAATATTTTTCACGCATTATTAATGTTGAATAATATTTTCTTTACATAAAATTTATAATATATTTCATTTTAAATAACATTTTGTTTACATAAAACTGTAGAATTGCAAGGACTTTTGCATAAATTGTTTTCAAAATTTACATAATATTAACAACGTATAAAAATTCAT